GTTTCAATCATAGGTTGAAAGGCTAGCATTCAAGAGACATTGGCTGTGGTGCTCAGCAAGACCAATTAAGCCAATTAACTCATATAGTATTGTAGTAAAATGAAAGAAAAGTCATGATTGAAATTGATATGGAAAGTTCTTTTTCCTAACACACTACATGACTTAGCAAAATAGCTATTCTGTCTCTAAAACAACTGCTTCTTTCTTCCCTCAGCTTACAACTACTTCTGTGGTACTGGTTGCCAACATAGGTGTGCTTTGCATTATGGGAAATATATGTCATTTGCCTTTGCGGGGCAGTATTTTTGGTTAACGTAAATGTCTCATTTCTGAAAGAAAGTAATATTCCTAATGCTGCTGTTAAATGCTTGCAGAATGACATAGGTGAGAACAGTATTAGGATACAAGCAATATAATTATATGCAGTAGTTGCAGAACGAAAAAGGAAAGGAATGAAAGGACAGAGGAAGGAAAGGAAGTGGGGGAAAGGGAGATTTTGAGACTGAAATTTCAAAAACAGCCCCTTTCTGGAAACCAAATGCATATTTAATTACTTACTTCTGAATTAGTGTATCAATTCTAAGTCATTTCCAAATGTAGTTGTCACTTGCCATTGTTCTATGGAGTCAGGCCTGATATCCTGGCTGTGCAGCACAGCTTTTGAAGTTAAAAATTTTCTACCCTCCAAATTGATTCTTGAGGGTTGTCTTAATACTTTGAGTGCTCTAAACAGCATCCTGCCAATTAAGAGTGAAAGTTGTCTATTTTTCCCATCATTTATAAATATGAACTTTGTACAAAGTATTATTTTAACCTGGCATCAGCACACAGGAAGAATAAATTCCCAGAGGAAGAGAGAAGGGGTGGACTTGAAGCCAGATGATATCTTAATGCTATTTTGAGAGCTTCAAACATAACAGTGCTACTCACAAATGCTGTAGGTGAAAGGGCATCTCGCTACAACTTTGGAGGGAAATTTGGTAAAACCTGTCAAACAACACACACACACACACGCATGCGTGCATGCACCCACCCTTAGATCGAGGAAGAATTCTGCTTCTGGAAATTTGTTTTGCAGATAAGTTCATCATGATGTTTAAAGTAGGGAGCATTGCTTTCAATAGAAAAAGATGCTTAAAAATTAATTGCAGTTGGCTGCTAAATAAATGTTGCTTCATTCATACAGTGGTATGTTATGCATCCAGAAATAAATGAGGTGGCTTTGTATGCATAGAATTGAAAGGAGTTCCAGTCTGCATTAAATGAAAACAGCTGAGTGCAAAGGAATGCAAGGTGTATTCTCCCAACTGAATAAAAATATATGTGCATTACATATGAATATAGATAAATGCTTTTATATGCCAAGAAAATGTCTGTCAAGATTCTCTAGAAACCTTAACAGTGGTTGACACTGAAGCATAGTTGTAGGGCAGCCTCCAGGGTTCACGGAGGCTCATGGTTTTTTATACACTTTTGTACTATTGAAATTTTTATCATAAGTATATATCCATTTTCCATTTTAAAAATCTAGATAATTTTAAAACTTTTATTAAAAAGAGCATTCCACAAAAATACATCAATCATCCATTAAGATCAAGTAGGATTTATTCCAGGGATGCAAGGATTGTATAACATTCAAAAATCCATTAACATCATCTACCACATCAACAAAAAGAAAGACCAAAACCACATGATCATCTCCATAGATGCTGAAAAAGCATGCAACAAAATTCAACATCCATTCATGATAAAAACTCTCAACAAAATGGGTATAGAGGGCAAGTACCTCAACATAATAAAGGCCATATATGACAAACACACAGCCAAAATCATACTTAACACCAAGAAGCTGAGAGCCTTTCCTTTAAGATCAGGAACAAGACAAGGATGCCCACTCTCTCCACTGTTATTAAACATAGTACTGGAGGTCCTAGCCATGGCAATCAGACAAAACAAAGAAATACAAGGCATCCAGATTGGTAAAGAGGAAGTTAAACTGTCCCTGTTTGCAGATGACATGATATTATACATTAAAAAAACCCTAAAGAATCCACTCCAAAACTACTAGAACTAATATCTGAATTCAGCAAAGTTGCAGGATACAAAATTAATGCACAGAAATCTGTGGCTTTCCTATACACTAACACTGAACTAGTGGAGAGAGAAATCAGGAAAACAATTCCATTCACAATTGCATCAAAAAGAATAAAATACTTAGGAATAAACCAAACCAAGGAAGTAAAAGACCTATACCCTGAAAATTACAAGACACTCTTAAGATAAATTAAAGAGGACACTAGCAAATGGAAACTCATACCATGCTCTTAGCTAGGAAGAATTAATATTGTCAAAATGGCCACCCTGCCTAAAGCGATCTACAGATTCAATACAATCCCTATCAAAATACCAACAGCATTCTTTAATGAACTGGAACAAATAGTTTTAAAATTCATATGAAACCACAAAAGACCCCGAATAGCCGAAGCAATCCTGAGAAGGAAGCATAAAGCAGGGGGGATCTCACTCCCCAACTTCAAGCTCTGCTACAAAGCCACAGTAATCAAGACAATTTGGTACTGGCACAAGAACAAACCCATAGACCAATGGAACACACTCGAGAGCCCAGATATAAACCCAAGCATATATGGTCAATTAATATATGATAAAGGAGCCGTGGATATACAGTGGGGAAATGACAGCCTCTTCAACAATTCTACAGCTTCAAAACTGTACAGCTACATGTAAGAGAATGAAACTGGATTATTGTCTAACCCCATATACAAAAGTAAACTCAAAATGGATCAAAGACCTGAATGTAAGTCATGAAACCATAAAACTCTTAGAAGAAAACATAGGCAAAAATCTCTTGAATATAATCATGAGCAACTTTTTCCTGAATGTATCTTCTTGGGCAAGGGAAAAAAATCAAAAGTTAACAAATGGTACTAAATCATGCTAAAAAGCTTCTGTACAGTGAAGAACACCATCAGCAGAACAAAAGGCATCCTACAGTATGGGATAATATATTTGTAAATGACATATCTGACAAGGGGTTAACATCCAAAATATATAAAGAACTTACATGCCTGAACGCCCAAAAAGCAAATAACCCGATTAAAAAATGGGCAGAGGATATAAGCAGACACTTCTCCAAAGAAGAAATTCAGATTGCCAACAAGCACATGAAAAGATGCTCCACATTGCTAATTATCAGGGAAATGCAAATTAGAATCACAATGAGATATCGCCTCACACCAGTTAGAATGGCCAACATAGAAAGGACTAGGAACAACAAATGCTGGTGAGGATGTGGAGAAAGGGAAACCCTCCTGCACTGCTGGTGAGAATGTAAACTAGTTCAACCATTGTGGAAAGCAATATGGAGGTATCTTAAAAAACTAAAAATAGGAATACCATTTGACCCAGGAATTCCACTCCTAGGAATTTGCTCTAAGAATGTAGAATCCCAGTTTCAAAATAACATATGCACCCCTATGTTTATCACAGCACTATTTACAATAGCCAAGAAATGGAAGCAATCTAAGTCTCCATCAGTAGTTGAATGGATAAAGAAGATGTGGTATATATATATATACAATGGAATATTATTCAGCCATAAGAAGAAAACAAATTGTACCACTTGCAACAACATGGATGGAACTGAAGGGCATTTTGCTCAGTGAAATAACCCAGGAGGAGAAAGACAAGTACCAAGTGATTTCACTCACCTGTGGATATAAGAACAAAGAAAAACTGAAGGAGCAAAACAGCCGCAGACTCACAGAACCCAAGAATGGACTAACAGTTACCAAAAGGAAAGGGACTGGGGAGGATGGGTGGGAAGGGAGAGATAAGGGGAATAAGGGGCATTACGATTAGCACACATAACATGGGGGTGGGGACACAGGGAAGGCAATATAGCACAGAGAAGACAAATACTGACTCTATAGCATCTTACTACACCCATGGACACTGACTATAATGGGGTATGTGGTGGGGACTTGATAATGGGGAGAATCTAGTAACCACAATGTTGCTCATGTGATTTTATATTAATGATATCAAAATAAAAATATAAAATATATAAAAAAGAACATTACAGGGCCAGAGGCTAAAGATTGTATTTATCTTGGTTCTTTAGAAAGAGGAAAGGAGTCTCTGTGGGGTAATTTTACAAGAACTTATTCAAGCTGTCCCAATTGCTTCCTCATCTATACTTTCTAGACATGCATCCTACAAATAGAATGGTCAGCAAAATAGTGCCCTCCAGGAAGTGAAAACCAGATTCATCCCATGACAGTGTGGGGCAGATAGACAATAGCAGTTCTAACATAGAATGGAATACCAGAAATCTGTGCCAGTAGACAAGGTGGATAAATTTAGGTTTTTTTTTTCAAGAGCCTATATTGTTCAGAACAGGGTTTGCATTGGCCAATCTAATGACATTTAGAAAAACAAAAATTTGACATTTGAGAGTGCAGATATAACTCATTTGTGTGTTTTAACAAAAGAAAGGAATGAAGAAAAGAAAGAAAGGAAAAAAAAGAGAAAGAAAGGAAAGAAGAAGGCAGGCAGGCAATTGATTCCTGGAACTTCATTTCTAATTTTAAGAAGGACATTAGTTTAAATGAAAAGGAGTTTGTAGCTGGTTTTCTGGGTCTTCATCTCATCGAGTTACTCAGATTGGGATAAATGAAAATACAAGTGAACTAATACTGCTTATTTTTCTCTAACACAATTGACAGAAACAATAATGAAATAACTTGATCTTACTGGAAAGACTTACTTATAATTCTTAGATGCATGACCCAGCTCCAAAGCAGTTAATTGATCTTACTAATAAATGTTAACTAAAATAAAGCACTCAAATGGTGAAAATTTAATTTTCAAGAGTTACGTGTGAAATGCTGGCATACTCTCAAAAATATGTATGCTGACATTAGGATTATACAAGAAAACAGCTCACGAGTATTCACAGAGCATTCATTGTTCTTCTTTAGAAAGCCAGACTTGCCAGGATCCGGGCAGCCAAAAGCGGAAGTGCAAATGCTTACATGCAGAGCAAACGGAATGGCTTACTCAGTAATCAGCTACAGGTACAGTCTAGCACTTCACTACTTTTAATGCTCAATTTATTAGTGTAATATTGATTTCATTCTACTTCACCATAAATTTTTTTGTGGGTGATTATGAAAATGGCTCCTGAAACACAAAAGTGTCATTTTTAAATAACCTTGTCCTGTATCTTCTTGGCTGTAGCAGTTTATCTCATGATGCCCATTTGTGATCAGGCAATATTTCTGCACTGTCTCGTGAAAACATGGGAAAGGTCAGAAATTCTCAACAACTGATACCCATTTATTTTTATTTCAAAATCACTATGTTCCTTAAAGTTCATTTGGGTACAATTAGGAAGAGATGATACTTTATTTTACTTCTTAATGTGGAGGGAACACTATATAGTGTCACAAAGTCACACCATATGAAATACAACTTGGGAAACTTTACTTTTACCTCAAAACTTTCCTTTAATATTTAGGGTTCCAATCATCTTCACTAACAAAATAGCTTTTCTGTAGGTGGACCTGGTCGAGGTTTCAGGATTATCTAAGCACCAGATGAAATTTTATTGTCCTAAAAGGATGGCTCTCAGGCTTTCAAAGAGAGTTGGTAGTTGAATGAGTAAAAGAGATTTAAATTTTCGATTCAGGGAGGCATGTTTAAAAGACCAGACAGCTAATTTGATGAATCATAAATGCTGATTATCAAACTTAAGAGCCACTGCACATTTGTCCCCTTTTAGTTAAAAATATAAAAACGCTGCCATTTCATCTCAGGAAATAGGCTGGATCTCTCTGTGGAAAGGTATAGCTGAGGTTCTCATTGTTCACAAATAAAAAACTTTTTTTTTTGTCTTTGCGTTCACAGTCCTCTGAGGATGAGCAGGCCTTTCTTAGCAAATCTGGCTCGAGCTTTGAAACCCAGCACCACCACCTGCTTCACTGCCTAGAGAAAACCACGGTAAGGAAAAGGCCTGACACCTGGCCCTGCCCTGGGACAGCGATCTGGTCTGGTTTTGTGATGACTCACTGCTTCCAAGCATGATTTCACTATCTGCATCACTGGAAAATATGCAGAGAAACCCCCACAATATTTGAAATTACTTTGAAAGGCTATAATGACATTTCGACTTGGAAAGTATATTTTAGACATGTATTTTAAATATTTGTATCCTTAGTGGTGATTTTAACCCATCTAAAATACCAGTTTAATGCAAATGGAAGGCTGTTTTCCAACAGCCTACTACAAGTCCTATAAAATATCATTTTTCCCTGATTCTTAAAACACTCATTAAATAGAAAAAAATATGAAATTCAAGTGTTCCTGACGTCTGGATAAGGGGAATATCAATAGCAATAACAGAATAATTGAGACTAACTGAATATAAGCATTTCTCTCATTAACAGGTTGTAATGAACAGAGATGGATAATAAAAAGTACTTGTTCTTATAAGAACAATCACACATTTAATCACTGGCAAGCCTCTTGGAGCTGAGGATTGAGTCTGCGTCTCTCCACTTCATACGCTGTCAATCAGAGTTCCTCTTTAGCAAAGGCACCTGTTGCCTGGCCAGCTTGTCAGAAGGGGTCACAGGCTGAGACCACAGAGCAGAACAAAACTCTCACCATATTTGAATAAGTCTGCTCACTCACTCCCCGGAGATGCATATTTCTATTTTAAATTCTAATATATTTGCCCATCTATTTATTAATTTACCCATATGGTCATTCAACAAGTATGTGTCACTTGCCTACTATGTACCAGAAAGTGAGGCAGACCCAGAGACAGCATGAAGTCAGGTGCGACCTCTGCCTTCGCCAAGCCTCCCCCTGGGGACAGACTCGGCAGATCCTGGAGAAGGGCCGTGAGCCGAGCCGAATCAGCGTATGCGAGGCCGAGGCCGCAGTGGAGCGGAGAGTGGGGGCGGAGCCTGCGCGGCAGGATCAGGCGAAGCCTCCCAGAAGAGCTGGAGTTGAAATTCACAGGATGACTAGGAGCTAGTCAGGCAAAGAAAGGATGGGTGACACTGTGAGCACCGAGGAAGGCCAGACATGACCTTAGAGGAAGTGAAAGAATCTGAGGCTGGTGGGAACAATTAGAGAATACAGCGTGGCACATAGGCAGAGAGCCAATGGCCCTACATAATCCTAGGCTTTGGGGACGTGGAAAGAACTTTAATTTTTATCTCATAATGAATGAAAAATTCTTTGAGGACTTTAAACAAGGTAGTTACATGATTATATTTGCATTTTTACATAAAGATCTGTAACTTACAGGATAAGGTCAGTAACTTGTTAAGATAATGCTTTGAAAGTCAAATGATAACATTAATTAACTGAATGTATATATCCCTGTATCTTACTTTCCTTTTATTTTCTTTTTTTTACTGTTTTACCTTTTAGGGCTTTTTGAAAATCAGATATTATTTAACACCAATTAATTCATCTTAAATTGAGCTACCTACAAAAACATAGGATAACCAACAACAGTGACTTTCATTTCCAATCACTGATGAGATAAATTAGAATTTCATTTAATAAAGAACTTGTATATGTGTGTGAAATGTGCATTGCAAGAGAAGAAAACATTGTGATCCTTTGTGAGCTATGTTTTTTCTATAAAATTTAATATTGAAATTCATAAATGAAACTGTGTTTTATCTGATCATATTCTCTGGACCCTAAGCAATAGAATCTTCAATTTCATTTACTTCAGAATGCTTCTCTCAGCAAAAGAAAATCTGTTTGCTGTTGGCAAGTGAATCGCCTCCATTGCTTCACTAATATTTTTAGGATGAGAGATGGTTAGGTGGAATTTGGCAAGTGCAAAATCTTCGTTATAAGATTGTTCCCACCCACACAAAGGAAAAAAAAAGTAACTGGAGTCGCTCTCTATTAGTTCAAACCAAAAATGTTTTCCCTTATATTTGTGAGGTAAAAATCTTGCACAGGCATTTGAAGGGCAATTCTTCATTAAATATTTAAAAGCAAACTTTATGCTGTGTTTTTCTAAAATATGGTATATGAAATGATGCCCATCACTGCTGCTTGGCTAGAAGAGTTCTTACTAAGGGTAGAAATGATGAGTTACAGCCACTGATATACAATAAAGAAAGGAGACCTCAGAGGCGTGGTGCTCACCTTCTAGGTCACACATAAAAGTGACACATTTTGCAGATGAATGTATTTTACTTATGTCACTAATAAGTCCTGTTTTTCTATACATCAGGAATTTTTGAGGAGCATCTAAAGAAATAGAAAGTGTGTTAGGTATCTCCTTTTCTAATTGAAGAATGTTTTCAATCCCGTGTTAAAATATTTCCTAATATATAAAAGCCAACCTGACTTTGGACATGTGATTAAAAGTCTTTTTTCCATATATTCAATCTGTTTAAAAAATAAAAGTCAATGTGAATTTACACAGTCCCTGTAGATATTATCTAGATTCATTTGCAAGCACTTTTTCTGTAGTATTCTAATGTCCAAATTTGATGTTTTAATTAATAAATGATATTTCAAGAGAAATTTCATCTAAAATGGACACCAAGTCAGCCCAAGTATGTTGATCTTAAGGTCTAAGTGGAGAGATTTTATTTGCACACAAATGCCAGAGATGGCTTCGATACTCTAATCTTTATTAAAATGGTATTAATTACCCAGGGGATTGTCTAAATACACACGAGCATATTTGAGTTTTAAAAACAAGGCTATAATTTCCTTTTTTAAAGTTAAGATGTGTTTATATATTTTCTTTCCATAATCTTACAACTATGGAACAGAATCATGAGTTTGTGGATGAGCAAGTCTTTGAAGAAAGCTGCATGGAAGTTGCAACTGTTAATCGTCCTTCAAGCCACAGTCCCTCTCTCTCCTCACAACAAGGAGTCACCAGCACTTGCTGTTCACGACGACACAAAAAGACTTTCCGCATCCCAAATGCCAACGTATCAGGAAGCCACCGAGGCAGTGTGCAAGAACTCAGCACAATTCAGATCAGATGTGTGGAGAGAACCCCGCTATCTAACAGGTACCTGAGAGTAATGTGTGTGTGTACACGCACCTGTCCTGATTTCCGGAGCATATCTCCACCTACAGTCATGTGGCTACCTATGTGGCATCTGAGTCCTAACTCCTAGGGTTTGGAAAGAGATGAAATTGATACTGTAACAAGTAGGAAATTAGATCTACTATAATATAGGAGTCAAAGTAGTAGTTATATCAGCATTAAGAGTAGAAAAAGATGGTCAAACATACACAAATGTATTTCTACCTCTTCCACTCCCCAACTTTTTATTTGAGACACCGTTACACCCATGAGCCTCTTATGTAAATGCAAACAGCCTCACATGAGAGTCAACAGTACTAAAAAGAGACAAATTAAATGGACATTGATATGATTGAAAGGTACTCAACAGCATCTAAAAATACATCAACACGTTTGGTGTAACAGTGAAAAATAAAACTATGCTTACACAATCTCTTGAATCAGTATACAGTTTTGACCAAGAAGGTATTTTGGCCACAACAGCACAAAAATCAATCCAATATAAAAAAAAGATAAATAAAATGCTAAAATTGTTCACCGCTGGTTAGTTTATGGACAATTTAAGTGAAAATTTTCTACTTGTACTTTTCCTTTACTTCTCTTTATTTGCTGTTTGGTTTTCCCACAACACAGATGTGTAATAAGTAGTACATTCAAACTCTACAAGCCATTAGAAAGATCAGTTTTTGCCACAGTAAAGTTTCTTTGTTCTTCAAATTAATAACTGTATTTGTATATTAACAATCTATTGATTCAGTGCTGCTTCCTTGTTCACATCCCATCTTTGTGGAAAACCTGGGTGAGCTTCTGAAGTCAGGTTATGGTGACATAAATCAGATGTTTCTGGAACCAGAATATTACATTTTGAAGCAATGAGAGACTTCTGTCTATAAGATATTCTACCTCTGCATTGTTTTGCATCTGTTCCAAAATGAAGTAGAAAACAGAGAAGTGTTTAGAAATAAAATCTTAGGACATGAACATTTTAATTAATATTTCTGTAAAAATAATTCATTTTAAGCCCCTCTGTATCTCCCCCCTTTGCTTTTTTTCCCGTGTCCTCTTGCAAGAATGCCACTTGGGTAAACCTTGAAGTATTAGTAATGGCTAAGTTTTTGGGTTCTGAGCATTTGGCTGTCACTGAGTTGAGAACTTTAAGGGTGTCATGTATTCCAGAAGACGAGAGAGAAAAATGAGTCTGCTCAAAAGAATGGAGATACATCCACAGAGTATATTCCTTTCAAAGTGGTATCCCAAACTGTTCAGAAGTCCTGTCTTAAAGAGAACTATTTTACTCTGCTCAACCCAGGCTTTCCAAAACCCACTGATCTTCTTTCTTGCATTTTTACAGAAAACACTTCAAGAAACACTGATTACACCAAGTTGAGCTAACTTTTAGGCATTGATTTAATATTAATAGCTTAAGTACTGTTTGTGTTAACATATATTAAAGTTTGAGGCTTCCTTTTTTTTAACAAATCATGGTGATTGTGCTTAGACATTTAAAATGTTGCTTATAAACATGAGAACATATCCCTCAGTTGAAGGGAAAAAAACTTTTAAGTAACAACTTTCTTTCTAAAATCTCTTTTTTCCTCCTCAGCCGATCCAGTTTAAATGCCAAAATGGAAGAGTGTGTTAAACTAAACTGTGAACAACCTTATGTGACTACAGCAATAATAAGCATCCCGACACCTCCAGTAACCACTCCCGAAGGAGATGACAGGCCAGAATCTCCTGAGTATTCAGGGGGAAATATTGTCAGAGTGTCTGCTTTGTAAGACAGAATCAGGTCTGAGAATTTGAACCCTAGCTGTGTGAAGAACCCCAACATGGAAGAGAGAAGAAACAATAAACCTTTTGCAGACGAAAACAACAAAGTGAGAAGGTTGATACTGAAATTAAAAAAAAGCTACCCAACTTGAGGATGGAAATAAAATCACCAAATGGCATTTCTAGACAGAGTTTGGCCTGTTTTACAGAGGAAAAGTCAGTGGCCCTTTAACTTTGTGAATGAGCACAATGAAATGCCACCTACTGATGCTTCTTATGACCAGAACTCTTTTTTAAAAAAAGAAATAAAATAAATCTTTGAACATAATGTTCCAGGTGAATGCAAAACAAAAAAATATGGAGGACCTTTTGATAAAATTTTTTCCTGTTAAAACCATGAACATTGGCTATGACGAAGATGATCACATATTAAAGAAAAACTCATACAACACATTTGTCTGAACTGGAGGAGACCATCATAATGCATGCTAGAATTCTTTGGAGCAGTGATATCGGTGTCCTTATGTTGTCTTCAGAATAGGCATGATAACTTGTAATTGTAGAAAGGGGGAATTTCTGTGCACTTACAACAATCTGATTGTCATATTCCGTGGTGAGCTGTGCCAATTAACTCCTTTTAGAACTGCAGCATTGCTCATGGGGATGCTCATTAGTAAACTAAGGTGTTCGGATAGTTCAATATTAATTATTGTTTTACCTTGCACCTAGATACTGTTACAACTGCAATAATTCATTGTACACCTGTTGTATCAGGAATCAGGATTTTTTGTTGTTTTTTCCAGATCTTCATAGATACAGTAACAGCCACATTCATAGAAAAGCTTCAGTATGGCCAGGTTTTAGATAACTTTTTAATTCAAAACTATTGTGCCATAACTGTTTTTCAGTAATATTATTTGGTTCACTGTAATCCCAGGCCAGTGCATTAGTTGTTCCTGTATTTCCATAGCACCTTTCTGTTGCATTTATTGTCATCAACTAATGTTTTGTAGCTCAAGTGACTTTCCTACGTTTGTATTCCCCCAACAATTTATCTTGTAAGTAGATTATCATCATCAATCCCCTTGTCAAAAATTAGAAAAAAAGGAGTTGACGTCTATGAATTATCTCTAACCTCTTTGCTATTATGGAAAAGCCCAGATACTAAATATATCACCGTATGTTTCATAAAAAGAGTTGGCTGGGACTAATATCACAGGATCAATGATCCCAGAATCTCACTTGATGTATTATTTATTTTGCTTTAGATCTTGAATACGTTTTGAGAATAACTAATGTGAATTGAAATGCAGAGATAAACTACAGTGCTTTATGTAGCAATATTTGATGAAAGCCTGCTTTCTATGCATTTGGGGAAGGCAACACAAGTTTATCTCAGTAAGATTCCTGTATGTTGCAAGGAACAACTTTCTCCACTAAATCAGGAGGATGGAAGTTTAATAATACAAAGTTGATCGCTATGTACATTTAAGTGAAAAGTCTTTATACCTTTTCACCTTTGAAATCTAACAGCAAACATGTCTGCACGTGACAGTGTAAAAAAGTTTTATGTCCAATGAAGTTTTGTTCATTCCAAACCACCACTATAAGGAATAAGGTTTACCTTCTGTACATGGGAAGAGTTAATAATTATCCCTCTACTATAGAGATTTTAAAATGCTTATCATGATTTATCATAAAAAGGAATTAATCCAGCCATTGTCAAGTAAAGCCAGAAAATTTCTTGCTTCCCATTTCTAGAACAGCTTCTAGAACAATGCTATGCACATAGTAGATCTTAAAAACCATTTGCTGACTGAAAGTAAGATAAGCCTTACTGTCGGGAAGAACTGGCTTTATTCCTAGTATGCCTTTTAAAAAATTACTAATCTTCCTGGAGCGTAAATATTAACAATTATACTAACACCTGCCTTTTGTCACTTTATGCTTCTAGAGCAAATATATAGTGAAACTTCTTTGATGGCACTTGTTGAAAAACTTTTTAAAAAATAGACTAAGGAAACCACAATCAGGAATACCTAGGTCTTTTGATTCCCAATGAGAAGTTATATTTTCATGATATTAATATTGCATTTAAAAAATACAGTTAGATTATTTCAGTTATCAATTCTGCCTCCTTTTTCAACTTATCATTTATCCCAAACTATTCATTTCTTTAGACCTTTGGGAAAGAAAAAAAAAACTTTTTGGTGTTTTAGGTGATTTAAAAATAAACTGTGTTGGTGGTGAATGACTATTGATGACTGTGTTAAGTGCATCTGTATTGTAAGTGAAGTGTAATTATTTCTGTGTACCATATGGACTAGCCAAGGTCATTGTTTTGCCGATTTTGTTTTAAATTCATATATCTTATCTCAAAGGGTAGCATAATATCTGCATTATGCTGAAAAAAATAGACCTTTGGAGAATACTTAAATAAAACATGTGCATGCTTGAACAGGACAAAATGATTGACTGTTGCCCTTTTTTTCTTAGACTTCCTTTGTTTCCAAAATCTAGGATGTACCACACTTGCAGTACATATTTGGGAAGACCCTGTAACATGTGCAAACTCAAAGAACCCGTCCATAGTGAACGATACTTACATTAGCCTAATTCAGTAGAGGTAGTAGCTTTCTGCTACACTGGGAATTTAGGCAGAGACTTTAGTAGAAAAGTTAATATCATCTAAAAATAGAAGAGCATCATTGCTTTAAATGGCTGTTTTTGGAATTAGCTTGCTTGACAATACAACTCCACAGCTAATAACTATGATAATTTAAGAATAGTACGATGTTTATTGGTCATTGGGAAAAAAGGTAGCATGGGTAAAATCTGTTATTGTTTTTAATGTGAGACTTTCAAGTGGAGTGCTCTTTGCAGTGTGTGACCCACAGTTTATTAGCCTGTACCCCATGCCACTTGCCTCTTGAACACTGTGGACCAAGAGGTAAGGCTAATGCCTGAACCTTAAATACTTCTTGAGTTAAGTAAAGAGAAGCTCTGAGGTAATAACTTTAGTCAGAACTCAGATTCATAATCAAAGACTTTTCTATCTAGAGAAACAGCAGGATTTATTTGTCTAGCTATGGGTGTGTGTGTGTGTCTACATATGTATGTTTATATATATTCACACCCATATGCATACATTTTTATTTTAAAAATATGCACATATGCTTTGTTTCTCTTCAATAGGGGACAAAAAACAAGGAAATGTTAAGAGATTATTAGAAGAAGGAAAAAGAGAAAATCACTTAGAACACAGAGTGGTTTTAACTAATGATAACTAGTGATCAGCTTGGTGGATAGTCTTCTCTTTTTTCTTATTAATTCTTTTCCTTTACAGTCCTTCATTTACTGAGATGCCAATCCTGTGGTAAAAGGTCCAACACACCTCCCCATCCCTTCAACTGAGTTACAATGTTGAGTTGGAAATAGCCTCCAGGGAGTTATTTCCATGTCTGCCAGCAACATTGCTCAAAAGAATAAAAAGGGTTCTGGATATCAAATAGATGACTCCTCAGAGTTCCACTAGAAAAGCATCTCCTTTTCCCCAGAGTGTTATTGAGGTGTTTGTTTTATTAACTCACAGGTGTAAGAATGGTTATTGCTCTGCACTGTATCAGTTTCATCAGAATTTTCAACACGATTGGATAGGCACACTGTATTATTTTTTCTAAGCAAGAGTTTGAATTGTACCCACCTTGGCTCATTTTATTTAGGATAGTAAAATATTCTCAAAAGAGTATTGTTTTTACTTTTAAGGAATTACTACTTTTGAACAGCACATTTGCCTAAGACAATTATAAAAGCTATTCACTGCAAAGAGCTTTCAGTGGCAATAGTAATAGATCCATATCAGATCCTCTAATTTGAGCATGAAAAACACTAGCCGTTCCCAAGTATCCATCCTGCCCTTCCCACCATGGTTTCAAAAGATGTGAAAAACACTATTAAGAGAGTGTTGCAGGAGGAGTACCACAGAATGCTGCTGTGAATCCTAATCCCACCTCAAATTGGTTCATCTGCTTGATCCCATTGAAATGTCAGAGAATGGGACAACAGAGCAGTAAATCTAGAAAGAAGGGTAAGTTTACACTCAGAGGCATTCACCAATCATTTGGGCCTATGTGGTCTCTATGAATTCCAAGGCATGGGGCTGCCTGCAGAAGGGAATTGAAGGGTGGATACCAAACATGTGAAGAGAGAGCTGGAGAAACCCTAGAAGACATGGATAGGGATATTGACAAGGCTACAAGGTGCTAGGGATGTGTCATTAGGCTTTGATTCTAATTGACAATTCAGTATTTTTTACATTTATCAGATTAATTCCTTTGTTAGAGAACTACAAACTCTAACCCCAAAAGGTACTTATCTTAACCTATACTCAGTTTTTAATATTCAAGCACCAATAAATTGCTCAGAGATCTCCCAGACCCCCTGTATAACAGAGAACAAAACCCTAAAAGAGCAGAATAAGGAACCAGCCCCAATAAATGGGAAAGAGCTGAAAGTGCAGAAGCATGTACCTTAACCTTGAATAGACGAATCTGTTAAATTTCCCAATCAGAGGCACTGGATATGAAAATTTTGGAAGTAAAAATGTCATGCACTTCACACTTTTACCTAGGATTTCACCTAGACCTAACGAGCCTCATTTTTAATTCCCAGCTACCCTAGTAAGGGACCAATGTACAAACTACAGAAGTAAAATCTGGATGCATCCTTTCCAATATACAGTTTATTCTGTGAATTCACAGTGAACAGTAAATAACAATGACTATTACAACCATGAAAAGATAACAATAATAATGAAGACTATTAAGTTTTACCAGGTTCTAAATACATGACAGGCATTGTGCTAATCGCTTGAAATATAAAACTCTATTAGATAATTTATAGCTACTTTTCTGTTGAGAAATCTTTAACACTGAAAAATGACGGATCTGGAATTTTATAATTCAGATAATATAATTTTTTAAATTAAATCACCTATTTCTGCAATAGAGTTCTATTTTGTAGGAACATTGATGTAATTTCTTCCTTTAACATAAAACACAAATGAAAAGAAACAGGATCAGGAAGAAGCCTGGGTAGCTGTGGTCTATTGATTGCAATGTTGTTATCAAAGGTGATTAACGTTTCTGCTCATTTTATTTGGTCTGTATTTCTTTCTTACCTTGAAAAATGGGCTGCTAATTATGATTTCTGGTTGATACTGGTGAATTAAAATAGAAATAGAACCTAGCTGGAAAATAACACTTCTATCCTCGTTGACAAAGACTTTTCCAACAACTGCTTATTAGCGCAGCATACACATTGAGCTAATTTTCCAGTAACAGAGAGAACTGTTTGGTAGAACGTCTATCATCTCTCACTTACTCCCTCTTTTGAACAAGGCCTGCCTAAATTTTCAAGGTTGTTGATCAGGGCTGCAGTTATAATTTGCATCACCTAATTGGTCTATAGTCCAAGTCCTGGAAACTTGTAATAACAGAACAGAAATATTGTAGAATTAAAGTCAATAACCACAATTCCCAGCCTTCATTATCTTTTGTATCTTGCTCAAATTCTTTCAGGCAAAAATTCCAGAGGATGACAGTTAAGTCCTATTGGCATTTAGCACAATATGCAAAATAAGGTGCAGAGAGAGTCTGATAGGCAAAATGGTTGCATAATTCAGTACCCCAAGTTAGTGTGATAACAATTAAAAATATGCTTGGATTTTTACATCCTTGCAAAGAACTTCGAAATTTTTCTGTAGGTTACTGATATTTTTTATTTGCTCCTAGTAAAATAGAAAGCTTCAATAAAGGTGTAAACACAGACATGTGATTTATACAGAACTGTAGAAAATTTAATGTACCTTTTAAAATGGTACTTGGGATATAACTACTTGTAATAAAACTTCTTCTTTGGGTTTCATCGTTTCCTTGTTTTATGTTCCAAAATAACACTGGCCTATTAATAATATCTCTTTACTTTCCATCTCAATCTTCCCTTTCCTACTTCTCAAAAGGCAGATGTGCTATTCATTCTAAGTATTAATATTTTTCCCAAAACTTCTTTCACATGAAAAAATTCAGGTGAAATTATGATTTAAAAGAATTGTATAGAAAAGTGAATATTATATATGATTTATCGTTGTTAAATCCTATTGACAATGATGGTAAATTATAAAAATGTACCTCAATGAAATAATAAAACCTCCAAATTGTCTTGCAGAAAGATTAAAATCCTTCATTTTCTGTTTTACCCTAAGTAGGAATATGTAGCAGGTAAACTCTAATGTAAAAATCACACTCTACTTGAAAAAGAGGCTTAATATATATAACATAAGACAACTCCACTAGTGTCCAAAACAAAATGCATTTATTCATCCAAGTGTGTGTAAGCCTACTAATGAGAGACTAAAAAATGGAGCCCTAAGTGACTTAAGGAAACTGAAACCAAACATTTTGTGGAAGATACAGAGATTGAAAGACCAGAAGAATTCAATCACGTCTGTTTCTCCAGTCATCTTACCTAGAATTCAGTTCATTGGCAAATATTCTGAGAGTTCAGTTCATTATGCTGCAATTATTTACTGTTAGATACAGGTAATATATTTTGTAAGATTATCTGAAAGTAATTCAAGACATTTCCTCTATCACCTATAGACTCGAATTTTAATAAGTATCTCAACCTAAATTTAGATTGAATGCTAAAATGATTACAATAAACTCAGTGTAGGAGAAGACGGTTAAGGTCATCAGTCAAAAAGTGAGAGTAGAAATGTCTCAGTTCATGTGTCTGAGTATCTCTGATATTGATTAAATATGTTTCTATAATAATTTTAGAATCAAAATTTAAATGCATAAACTTTAGAATGTCTATTGTTTACTTTTAATTAGCTGCACTTCCCTT